AATACAAAATATGGAGCTGCTGGCTCTAGGAAAAGGGCATCTTTAATTATTATGGAAATTGCCAGGTTAGTCATCTCAGTGGCTATGCTAATCCACATATCTGTCCATGAAAGCAAAACTAGTTTCCCAGCTTCTTACCATCCTTGGTGATATACCACATCCCTTTGGGCTGTAAATTCCTGTGTTACCCACAGTGAACTCACTGAATAAAAATAAGAAGACAGCATGCTGCCGAATTGACAGTAACTAAATAACTCTTCATGATTCAACTTTACTATAGCTTTTTGCAGGCTTTGGGGCAAGCATATATTAGGTTGACACATCTCTCCTTTAAAAGCCACTTGGAATTCACTCTCTTGGTAGGAGATTTGAGCCCATCTTTTTCAGTAACTGAGAGAGAAAACTGGTCAGTGAGGATATAGGACATGAACCATGCAAGAAGCTTGATGAACAGACCTGCATATTATATTGTAACTAGAGGCCTGGTGCACAAAATTTGTGCATGGGCCAGGAGTGTTCCTCAGCCCAGTCTACACCCTCTCCAATCTGGGACATCCCTCTCACAATCTAGGCTCCCAACTACTCGCCTGCCTGCATAATTACCCCTAACTGCTTCTGCCTACCAGTCTGATCACCCCCTAAACTAGGTGTGTCGAACTCAATCAGAGAAGGGGCCAAAATCTAAAATCCAGCCTAAATCGCGGGCCAAATGGTTTACTGAACAATCATAAACTGTCATTGTGATGGAAACGCAGCGGAGTGCAGTGATGACAGCGCGGTGCGGGCCACATTGCAAGGCCTGGCGGGACGGATTTGGCCCGCGGGCCTTGTGTTTGACACATGTGCCCTAAACACTCCCCTGCCAGCCTGATCAACCCCTAACTGCTGGCCCAATTGCCCCTAACTGCCCTCCCGTACCAGCCTGGTCACCCCTAACTGTCCTCCCCTGCAGGCCTGGTTGCCTCTAACTGTTCTCCCCTGAAGGCCTGGTCCCCCTAAATGCCCTCCCCTGCAGGCCTGGTCACCCCAAACTGCCCTCCCCTGCAAGCTTGATCATCCCTAACTGCTCTCCGCTGCAGGCCTGTACCCCCCCCCCCCCCCCACTGCCTTCCCCTGCAGGCCTGGTTGCCCCCAACTGCCCTCCTCTATAGGTCTGGCTGCTCCTAACTGCCTTCCTCTGTCAGCCTGGTCACCTCTAACTGCCCTCCCCTGCTGGTCCCACCTGAATAGATCCTGTGACAGGACCTTTAGGGTTATAAGCTCACGACCATTTTTCTCAGGGCTTCACCTGGGGCAGGGGCAACTGGGCCCTGAGATTTCAGCCTCCACAGTTCATCTGTCTCCCCAATGACGGGCCCTGGGGTTGTTTCCAGGTCACGAGTCTATGCCTTTCTACCCTCTCTCCAGTGTGAGGATCCTCCTAGGGACCCTGATGTCTGTTCCAGTAGCTCAACCCTGAGCAAAACTAAAGAGCATTTGAGGGTTAAAGCAGGAGGCAGAGCCAGGTCTCTGGCATCTGGGATTAAGCCCTGATGACAGATGAGAAGATCTAGTCCTTGTGCCCAGGCCGGGATTCTGATGATGAGACAGAAGCCAGGCTGGTATCCAGCTCTGCCTGTCTGAACCCTCACAGATGCTCCATGAACACCCTTACATGGATGTGGGACACCACACAACTGAAGCATGTCACCCTGTGTGACACCTGGGGTCAGAGCATGTTCCTGTAGACCAGGGCATGGGGTCAGCATAGGAAGAGGGCAGCAAGTGCCCACAGTCTTTACCCTCGTACAGTGAAGAGGGAGGACAGAGCTCTCCTAACAGCGAGGAGTCTTGGGACAACATAGAGGTAACATCTGGGTTCCACCTTGTCTGAAAGAAGTCCATCTCCAAGGCCTGATGTGACTCCTTGCTTTCAGTAAAATTCTATAGTTGAAACTAACCTAACCGCATCCTTAAAGGAAAGAATGTAGGATAATAACAACATTTCTTTTAAAAAAAACAACATTTTATTGATTTTTTTACAGAGAGGAAGGGAGAGAGATAGAGAGCTAGAAATGTTGATGAGAAAGAAACATCCACCAGCTGCCTCCTGCACACCCCCTACCGGGGATGTGCCCGCAACCAATGTACATGCCCTTGACCAGAATCGAACCTGGGACCTTTCAGTTCACAGACAGACACTCTACCACTGAGCCAAACCGGTTTCGGCAATAACAACCTTTCTTGATATCATGTTCTGCAAAATAGATTTTTGTCAATTAAATGGTAGCTAGAATATTTGTACAAGCATTATTCTACAGGCCCTTTGGGTGGTCCACTGACCATGGAAAAACCCTGGACTACCCCGGGACCAGTCACCACCAGATGAGGCTCATGGGACAGCTGACCTCATCCTCATGCCCAAGCCCTGCACCCACCACAAGGCCCCCATATAAACCATTTATAGGAACCCCTCGAGGAGCTCCATTTCTCTTTTCTGGTTGATTCCATTGTGCACAAGCTTTCCCCCCGTCCCCCAATAAACTCTATCTACTTGAAAGTGTGCTGGGTTCAGTGCTCAGTTCCTTGATATTGATATGCAAAGACCAGGCATTCAAGGTCCTATAACATCCTGACCCCCATTCATTTCCCAAATATTACAGCCCTCCCCATCCCTACCAGGTGAGGGATGTCTCCTCTCTCCAGGACACGGGCAGCAGTCTGTATCCTTCCTCTTCTCACAGAGCCCTGACCTGGCAGAAATCCCAGGTGGAGTTACTACCATGGGAAAAGGGAGCCCACCCAAACCTCAAAGGTGACGACTCCCATTGCTAAGGTACCTGGTCTATGGGATACTTTCCCGTGGTCCCTGGAGACATCTCACCAGCCCATGGTGTTTTGGGGAACAAGGGGGACTTCCCAGGCAGGATAGGACAGGAGAGCCCAGGATCTGGGGGTTCTTCCATCTCAGAGGGGACCTCCTCTCCCCTAACAGAGGGACCCACAGGATTCCTTGGTTGACAGTTCTCATGGATCTGCTCCAGATCCTGGGCCCCTTGGGGAGGCCTAGAGCAGATGACTGACAGGCACACAGATGACTTGGATGCAATGTCCCAAAGCTGTGATGGGGACACACAGGACATTCTCATGATCAGTCCTTCAGACTGGCACACTCTCCTGTAAGCCTCAAGAGACCCCTCACCTTGGAAATCTCGGGGATAAGGAGCTCCTCCGAAAATAGTATATTCTCCTGGGGGGAGAGTTCTCCTGACACTGCATCAGGGCTCCTCTGCACAACGCCTGTCCTCTCCCCGTGCTCATCCTGCCCTGTGGATGAAGTCAGGCAGCCTGAGACCCACTGTGACTGGCCACTCAGCCTGGAGGTCAGAATCCACCTCTCCCAGGCCTCAGGGTCAGCTCTCAGCATCTGGAGCCTGGTCAGCATCCCTGGATCTGTCCCTGACATTGGCTACAGGTCTCCTTCATGACCTCCAGGTGGCAACATTGAGACACACAGACAGCACACAGGAAATGCACACGAGAACCTGGCTTTGGCTAAGGAGGTGCAGAAGAGCCTGATTTCCATCCCCTGATCCAATAGGCCTCTGGGCTCTTCCCTAGTTCCTGGCTCCTTCTAGGGCTCTTGTAGCACCTGCTTTCAGGGGCCTCAGTGCTGCTCCTCCACCCCATGCCTGGCACCACCCATGAGGAAGGCAGGGTGACCACAGGAAAGCCCCCCAGGCAGAGGAGGGACAGAGGCTGCTCCGACCAACAGGGAGCACTTGGACAGGCCCTGAGCCACAGCTCAGCCAATGGGCACAGAGAAGGAGGGTCTCCTTGAAACCTTGAGTCTGAGGACCAGGGAACCCACAGCCATCTGACCACTAAGCACAATCCTCACTTGAGAGGACACAAAGGACACCTACACCTTCACCCCGGGAACTTCAGGTCCTTTTGAAACACCTAGTCCTGTCCGGGAAACAGGGGCCACACAGGTGACAGCTGGAGATAGAGAAGGGTTCCCTTCCCCTGTCATCATTCAGCTGACCCTTTTCTCACCACAGTAGGGGTGTCGAACTCAATCAGAGAAGGGGCCAAAATCTAAAATCCAGCCTAAATCGCGGGCTGAATGGTTTACTGAACAGTCATAAACTGTCATTGTGATGGAAACGCAGCGGAGTGCAGTGATGACAGCGCGGTGCGGGCCACATTGCAAGGCCTGGCGGGACGGATTTGGCCCGCGGGCCTTGTGTTTGACACATGTGCACCACAGAGTCACCTCTGTGGCCTTCCTGCTGGGAGGAAATCTCATATTCCCAGCGCATTTGAGAACACAGGGAAGACCTGGTGCCCAGCTGGGTTTCTGTGTCACAAATGGAAGGAATCCCCAGATTTGGGGCCTCCTGTAGCTTTCTGTGTTGGTGAAAGACCCAAGGCCTCTCCTGTGTGCAGAGTCTCAGGTCCACTGCACTCCTGTCCAGTCAGAATCTGCAATTGAACAGGATCTGGAGATCCTCTCTGTGCATAGGAGAGGAGGAGCAGCTGCCCCACCCACATCTCATGGATCTCAGCCTGGCAGGCACCCACCTTAGCTGGGCAGCTGTTGAAGCAGGGCTTTTACGGTGCCACCTGGGCATCGCAATCTTTACTAAGTTCCACAGGTGATTCACATGCACGATGGAGATGACATCCCTGTGACAAGAGTTCCTGATGCAGCACCTAGGCTCCTGCTCTGAAGGAAAAATCCCAAATGATGAGAGGGGGCTTTAGGGGATGCGTGAGACCCAGACACCCCCAACATTCCAGGCTTGTGTTTGTTCCAATAGGACATGTGTGTCTGTTTGTCTGTGTGTGGTGGATAATCATAGCTAAAGAAACCGAAGCTTCAGCAGTTCCCAGGAAACAGAAAAGTAGACAGAAGGAAAAGGGAAGGAGGGTTCAGGGGACTTAAGAATGAGAGGGAAGGGAGAAGGAGAGTCCTAGGGATAGACCCCGCCCCCTCCCACGTGACCGGGAAGCATTCCTGCCCTGGGAGGAGGTTCAATGCACTGAAAGAAAGGACGGCAGATCCTACGCAACCAGAACAGAGGTGCCTGGGAGTGTTCCTGGGCCCAGGCTCTTCTCACAGAGGGAGGGACAGAACCGACAGCAGACACCATGGAGTCCCCCTCAGCCCCTGCTCACAGACGGTGCGTCCCCTGGCAGGGGCTCCTGCTGGCCGGTAAGGAGGGGACAATTCCTGGGGTGGACAGGGAAAGGGGAGACAGAGACTGGCTGTGTTCTCCTGGGGAGCGCAGCGCTCTGAGAGGGGACAGAGGGCTTCTGTTTGGACCTGAGGAGAGAGGACAGGGGAACAGAGGAGGGGGCTGAGCAGCAGGACAATCCTATGATCTAGAAGTGGTGAGGGGCAGGAACACCTTGACTGCTGTTTTTTTGTTTTTGTTTTTGTTTTCTTTTTCTTTCTTTCTTTTTAAATATATTTTATTGATTTTTCTTTTTACAGAGAGGAAGGGAGAGGGATAGATAGTTGAAAACATCGAGCTGCCTCTTGCACACCGCCTACTGGGGATGTGCCCGCAATCAAGGTACATGTCCTTGACCAGAATTGAACTCAAGACCTTTTGATCCATAGGCCGATGCCAAACCGGTTTCAGCTGTTGTATGTTTTTAAAGTTAATAATTTCTGAACAATAAGTTTTAGAAACCAATGACAATAATCACAATATGTCAGGGGGCAAAAAACTTAACCAGGGATGCTAAACCTTACCATGAAGCTCAGAAATGAGCTGTATATCCCAGGAGGTGCAGGACCCTGCAACACTCACTTATTCACCCACAGGCACTTACAGCCTGTTGCAGGCACTGGGATGCAACAAGATCAGACAAGTCCCTGCCCTGCAGGAAGGTCATGTTCAATGGGAGAAGGCAGACAAGGAAAGATCTGGATGTGATGTCAGGTCCCCCCTAGTGCCATTTAGGGAACAGCCCAGGGACAGGTCAGAAAGTGAAGACAGAGGTCTTTACAGGAGGTGATCAGGGAAAGGGTCTTCCAAGGACACCTCTGAGTGTCAGCAGGGGTCTGAGGGCAGACATCTGGGTAACAGTATTCAAAACAGAGGGAATAACAGGTTCAGAGGTGCTGAAGTATTGGTGGCCATGCCGCTGACCTTGATCACAGGAGACGGAGACACACACACACACACACACACACACACACACACACACACTACACACACTACACACACACACACACCAAGGCTGAGAGATGAAGAGACATATTGGTCAATTTCTCTCTTCCCTCCTAGCCTCACTCCTAACCTTCTGGAGCCTGCCCTCCACTGCCCAGCTCACTATGGAATCAGTGCCGCCCAATGCTGCCGAAGGGAAGGAAGTGCTTCTCCGTGTGGACAATCTGCCTGGGTTTCTTGGAGGCTATGTCTGGTTCAAAGGGCAAAGTGTGGACAGCAACCACCAAATTGCATCATATGTAATAGATGCTCAAGAAATACACCCAGGACCTGCATACAGCCAACGAGAGACAATATACCCCAATGGATCCCTGCTGTTGAAGAAGGCGACCCTAAAGGACACAGGATACTACACTCTACTAGCCATAAAAGGAAATTTTCAAGGTGAAATAGTAACTGGACAGCTCCGTATATACCGTGAGTGATTGCTCTGTCCTCTGGGTGTTGGGTGGAGTGAAAGGAAGAGACATAGAGAGTTAGAAACATCGATGAGAGAGAATCATCGATCAGCTGCCTCTTGTATTATACACCCCCTACTGGGGATATGCCCGCAACCAAGGTACATGCCCTTGACCGGAATCGAACCCGGGACCCTTGAGTCCGCAGGCCAACGCTCTATCCACTGAGCCAAATCGGTTTCGGTCGGGTGGAGTGAATTCTACTTCACACATGGGACTGACAGCCCTGATCTCTGCCATGATCCCCCCTCTGCCTCATGTCACAGGTTGGGTTTGGGCATTTAGTGCAGGACACATACAATGGAGACAAACTTCCTAAGATCAGAGTTCCCTTCCTGGATTCCAGCTCTGCACACATTCTCCACAGAGAGAAGACCAGTCTGATGGGAGTGACTCAGCAAAGGGAGATCAGTCTCACCTGGGCCCCTGGGCCCCTCCCCATAACCATGACCCTGGGACAGGTTCTGCAGGGATCGGTTAGGGCGTGGACTCTGGAGCCTCTACGATCCTTACACAGAAGTTCAGCCCAGTCAGTCCCTCCCCAGACCTTTGATCGCAGGCTTCTTACTCCAGGGACTTTGGGGAGTCCATGCCATGTTGGGTTTGGTTTGTGGGCAAGGCTGACCTGGAGCAATTACTTCCCAGGTGCCCAAGTCACAAGGCTCCTGAGCTAGTCACCAGCTAGAGCTCAGCCCCATGAGCCACATCTGGGCGAGGATGGAGCCTGGCCCTTCATCTGAGACTGTGTGTGGAGAGCACAGATGGACAAGGTGGCCAGGTATTTGGCCAACTTCCCTGGGGGATTTAGATGAGTCCAGAGAAAGGTCAGCATCCCCAGGGAGGAAAAGAGGAGAGACGATGCTTGGGGGGGGGGGGGGGGGGCTCCTCATCCACCAGGGATCAGCTCAGGATTTAGGTCAGGTGCTGTTAATATTTTAGGGTTAATTTGCTGACAACCTGGCAGTCAAATATTCATCCTCCTACACTGAGAGAAAACTGAGACACAGGGAAATACAGTCACTAAAGCAGAGTCCCACAGACCATGAACAGCTGATCAGAGTCACCTGAGGTTTGTCTGCAGCCAGATCCCTGTCCTCTCCTCCACCCCAGGGGCCTATTAGGTATCTGTGGTTCTCTAGAGTCTAGGGCAGTGGTTCTCAACCTTTCTGATGCCCCGACCCTTTAATACAGTTCCTCATGTTGTGGTGACTCCCAACCATAAAATTTTTTTCGTTGCTACTTCATAACTGTAATTTTGCTACTGTTAATAAATCGTAATGTAAATATCTATGTTTTCTGATGGTTGTAGGCTCTACAGCAGCAGTTCTCAACCTGTGGGTCGTGACCTACAGGTTGAGAACTGCTAGCAGCCTTGCCTAAGACCATCGGAAATGCAGATATTTACATTATGATTCATAACAGTTCCATAACATGAGGAACTGTATTAAAGGGTCGCAACATTAGAAAGGTTGAGAACCACTGGTCTAGGGCTTAGACCAACCATTGTTTCAGATCCTTTCTTTTTAGGGGTCCTTAGCACAGAGGGAGAGATTCTGGTCTGGGGAAGGAAAGGTAATGGAGAATTAATCTGTTTTTATGCCAAAACGAAATTCCCTGCAGTAACAATCAGAGTTAGTGCTGGGAACGCCCAGGCCTTCCCCTCAGGTGGCTGATTCACGCCTCCCTGCATTCCCTCCCTGCACTGAACTTGAAACCACTTATTTGCTCCCTGTGTGTTGGTGTCACTCCCACTGGATGTAAAGGAAAGGACTTTGCCTTCTCACTCCTCACTCTACATCTGCAACTAGTTCCTTTTCTTCTACTTTCTCTAAAAATCATTGGGAAAAATATCCTTAGGCGAGAAGTAGCAATAACGAGAGAGAGAGAGAATAGTCTTTCTTGCTATTGGTCTTAGGCTCCTAGGTATTAATAATATTTTTCACATATGAAATATTTTAAGTTCCTTTCAAATTTCTCTCATAAACACCAAATACAAATAGTCCATAAGGGCCAGAATGTCAGCAATCCATGCACCCCTCTTACTATCCATCACCCCTTTTGCATCTGCATCTGCACAAGTCCTTCCCTTCCCTCATCAGAGGGAGAATGACCAAGGGCAGAACACATGGTTCTGCTGCCACAGTCAGTTCCTGTCTGTCCCTTCACTATTTTCTAGCTGAATCCTTGGATTCTGCTCTGTCATTTATTAGATCACTGGCTCATGTCAGTCACACTCACCTGGGAAGGCCTAACCTAGCTTTTGGCCCTGGGGCCTGAATAGTCAACTGACCACCAGCTTGCTCTTGGTTTCCATGTAATTTCTGCTCCAACCCAGTCTCTAGGATGTCCTGGAAAATGGAACCTCATAGAAACACACTTAAGCTGGGTGATGGAGGTCTGTGCTGCTGGAAGAAATGGTCCCTGGTCAGCCAGGCAGTCAGCCGTTCAGTGAAGAACCAGGAGAAGTGCCGGGTGGTCTCTAGCTCCCCACCCTGTGTCTTCCCATGATCAAAGATAGTTAATGGACACATGAGAAAGTCTTTACTTTTCCCCAGATAAAGAGTTTGATCCCCATGTGTTTATCTTGTGATATACTGGCCTGCTTTACTTTCTGCCCCTCTCTCTCTCTCCCCTCCCCACCCCCTGCTTTACTCTTATGAGGACTTAAGTTGGCTGAGAGGTGAGAGGTCCAACAATAATTCCTTTGGAGGAAGGAAAGGTATCACACAGAGCAGTGTTCTCTTTGTTACCTGAACAGCAGAGTTACCCACACCCAACATCACTAGCAACAACTTCAACCCCAAGAGTCTTGATTTGTGTTTACCTACTGATAGTGATGTTAAGTGTCTTTTCCTGGGCTTATTGGCCATTTGTAAATCTTCTCTGGAGAAATGTCTACTCAAGTGTTTTGCCCATTTTTTCAACCTTGGTTATTTGGTTTGTTGTTGTTGAGTTGTAGGAGATCTTTACATATTCTGGATATTAACCCCTCATCCTATATATGATTTCCAAAGTATTTTCCTTCATTCCATAGGTCATCTTTCACTCTGTTGATTGTGTCCTTTGATGAACGGTTTTTCATTTTTATAAAGTCCAGTTTACTAGTTTTTTTTTCTATTCTTTTTTTTTGGGGGGGGGGCATGTGTTCTTAGTGTCATAGTCAAGAAATAATTTCCAAATCCAATGTCATTAAGCATCCCTTTATATTTTCCTTTGGGTTTTATAGTTTTAGGTCCTACCTTTAGAATTAAATCCATTTTGAATTAATTCTTGTTCACAGTATAAGACAATGGTCCACTTCATTCATTTCCTTGTGGATAAAATTGTTAATCACCATTTATTGAAAAGACTGTCCTTTTCCCATTGAATGGCTTTGCCTCCTTTATTGTAATCATTTGATCACATAACAGAGGTTTTTATTTCAGGGTCTCTGTTGTATTATCGGGTCTAGTAATAATTAATGTCGTTTTAAACATTCGTTTAAAATCTTGCTTGGCGTTGACTTGTATTGACATAACCTTCAAACACGTGGTATCTACAGAACGTGTGAAGTGCAATTAACAAGTTTTGCTTGAAAAAGTTTGTGTTTGGTTTGGTTTTTGTTGCAAAACTAGGGCTAAGAAGATGGCGGATGAAGAGCATATTCGGCACTGCATGCTTTACGAGTTCCAATTAGGAAGAAAAGCAAGTGAGGCTGCAAAAAACATCTGTAGTGCTCTTGGTCAAGATGCAGTTAGCGCCAGAAAATGCCAGCGTTGGTTTGAGAAATTTCGCGAGGGAAATTTTTCGTTAGATGACAAGAGTGGTCGAGGCCGCGTGTCCAATTTTGATCAAGAAGCTCTTCAAGCTCTTTTGGTGCAAAATCCTCAAATTACCCAACAAGAGCTTGCGACAACTTTAAATTGTTCACAAAAAACAATTTCCAATCAATTGCGTGCACTTGGCAAAGTCCAAAAGTTTGGAAAATGGGTTCCTCATGAGTTGACCGACAACAACCGTAATCAAAGAGTCACAATTTGCAGTTCGCTCCTCTCTCGTCAAAACCGTTTGCGGTTTTAGAGCAAATTGTTACTGGAGATGAAGAATGGGTGCTGTATGTTAATTTGAAAAGGCGGCCTCAATGGTTGGACAAAAATGAGGCTCCGCAGCCCACGCCAAAACCTGACTTGCATGTGAAAAAAGTGATGTTGTGTGTTTGGTGGAATTTTAAAGGAATTCTTCATTATGAACTTTTACCATCTAACCAAACCATTACAAGTGCAGTGTATAGTGCCCAGTTGGAAAGGTTAGCCCAAGCTTTAAGAGAAAAAGAACCCGCGCTGATTAATCGGAAGGGCGTAATTCTTCACCACGATAACGCACGACCGCATACTGCAAGAATCACTGCTGAAAAACTGCGCCAGTTGGAATGGGAAGTTCTCCCTCAACCTGCATATTCTCCTGATATTGCCCCTTCCGATTACCATTTGTTTCGTTCTTTGCAAAACTTTCTTCTTGGAAAAAAATTTAATAATGAAGAATGCCTCAAAAATGCATTGACCGAATTTTTTGCATCAAAATCACAAGAATTTTACAACAGAGGGATTAAAATGCTTCCTGAGCATTGGGCACAAGTAGTAGAAAACAACGGCAACTATATTGTTGATTAAATTTTGTTGTATTGTTTAAATAAATTAGATTTTAAAAAGTATTAGAAAACGACATTAATTATTACTAGACCTAATATTACATGAACTATTGATATATGTCTGTCTTTATGCCAGTGACACACTATTGTGGTTACTTTAGCTCTTTAGTAAGTTTTGAAATCAGGAAGTATGAGACTTCCAATATCTCCCTTCTTTTTAAAGATCATTGCAACCACTTGGGGCCCTTAAAATTCCATATGAATTCTAGGAAGGATTTTTCTATTTCTGCCCCCCCCCCCCCAAAACTCATTGGGATTTTGATGGAGATTGCATCAAATATGTAGGTAGTTGTGGGGAAGGGTCTTCCAATCCATGAACATGGATGTCTTTCCATTTATTTGTTTCCTCTCAAATATGTTTGGTAGTTTTCCATGTATACATCTCCCATATATTGGTTAAGTTTATTCCTAAGTATTTTATTATTTTTGATGCTATTGTAAATGGAACTGTTTTCTTAATTTCATTTTGAGATTGTTCATTGTTGTAAAGAAATAGAAATGATGCTGAGTGTTGATTTTTGCCTCTTTCAACTTCACTGAATTAATTAGTTCTAACAGTTTTTTACCTATATGTGGAATATTTAGGTTTTCTACATCTAAAATTATGTCATCTGTTAAAAGACATAATTTTTCTTCTTCCTTTCCAATTTGTATGCCTTTTATTTCATCTTCTTGCCTTATTGCTCCAGCTAAGCTTCCAGAAGTGGTGAAAGCAACATCAGTGTCTTGTTCATGACCTTAGTAACGTTTTCTGAGTTTCTCCACAGAGAGTTATGTTAGCTATGAGCTTTTATGTGTGGCCTTTAGCATATCAGATAATTTTCTTCTATTCCTACAGTCTCTGCCTTTTGTTAAAACCTCTTCTCTATAGAGATGTCCTTCATGGCAATATCCAATCACAGTCCTGTTCAGATTGAGAAATCCTTTAGATGGAACATTTCCAGGTCCAAGATCATGAAAACTGGATTGGGCTAAGAGTTAAATACCTTTTCACTTCTGTAAAGTTTCCCTGGCCCCAGAAATGGACAGAGGTAGTAAGCCTGCCTTTCCCAACATGCATGAAGTTTACATGAGGAGCAGAAGCTGATCTTTTTTGAAATCAAAGAAAGTTCTAGGAAAGGATTAAAAAGTTTGTTTAAAAAAAATTCCACATGAGAATGAGGTCGCAGACATATGGGCTGAGGATGCAGGACACATGGGCTGAGGTCGCAGGACACAGCCTGGCCCTCCATGCTGACTGGCCCCTGTCTGCCCTGCTCAGAAAAAGCTCCACCTGAGAATGAGGCTGTAGGAGACATGGGTTGAAAAGGTGTTCCTGGTGTTGCTTAAACAGAGATGTGCACAGGGATCATTCTGGGGTGATCTGGGGTCAAAGAGGTGCAGCCCCCTCTTACACATTATCATCTGAACAAAATACTCATCCTGGCAGCGGCTTCCAGGCTGGGAGCGACCAGGCCCGGAGCAGCCGGGTCTGGTGTGGCCAGGCCCGGAGCAGCGGCTGCCAGGCTGGGAGCGGCCAGGCCCGGAGCAGCCGGGTCTGGTGTGGCCAGGCCCGGAGCAGTGACTGCCAGGCTGGGAGCGGCCAGGCCCGGAGTAGCCGGGTTGGGTGCGGCCAGGCCCGGAGCAGCAGCAGCCAGGTCCAGAGCAACTAGGTCGGGAGCGGCGGTGACCAGACCCGGAGCAGCTGGTTGTGGAACGAACCAGAGCAACAGAGGCCAGGCCCTAAGCAGCCAGGCCCGGAACAGCTCGCTCTTCGCCTGCCCCTGCCCCACGGCTGCCTCTCAGACATGGCTGGAAACTTTTGTGCGAACTTGAGGGTCTGCTGAATCAAGTGATGAAGGCTTAGATCTGGATGTGTTGAGTTAGTATAGGGCTGGGGTGTTGATCTGTGAGTGCCTTGGGTGGGGCCTGGATGAGGCTGGTTGACCTATTTGGAAATGTCTTTTTTTTTTTTTTTTTAACATTTAAAAACTTTATTTTAATGGCACATTTTTTTCTTGCTTTTTAAAGAAGGAGCCCCACATTTTCATTTGGCACCGGGTCCTGCAAACATGCAGTGGCCTTGGTCCCTGGGTCTCTCTGCTGACAGCCTCTGGAGCTGCTGGAGCCTCTGATTCCAGTCCCTCCCCAGGCCTACTTCCCTAGTGAGAAACCACTGTGAAGGGCCTGGGGCTGCTCGTGTCTGCAGATGCTGTGAGGATGAGGGAGGGAGTGGAAATGTCTTTTGTGTGAAATGTATCATTGGGCATGTGGTGGTATTATTGATATGAGAAAATGCTAAGTAACTGATTTACTATCTGAAAAGGGATTTGCTATCGGGGAAAGGGAGGGAGGAAGAGACTGAACATAAACTGCACTTATGGATGAGGACAATGGGGGATGGGGAGGGGGCGGAGGGTGGGGTGGGAACCTGGTGGAGGGGGGAAGAAATGAGGAACCTTTGTAACAATATGAACAATAAAGATTGATTAAAAAAAAAAAGTAAAATAAAAAAATAAAAAAATAAAAAATGTGGAAATGGAAAAAACAAAAACAAAAAAACAAAACAAAACAAAATACTCATCCTGCAGAGGTCAAGGCCACCTTCTGGTGACCTTTATAAAGCTCACCGTGGACTGTGAGTGGCTGACATCTCTGAGGAAGGAGCCCATTCTCAGTCAGTCACCTCCTCTGTTTCTCCACAGAGTCAGTGAGGAAGCCCGCCGTCCGAGCCAGCAATGCCACCGTCACAGAGAATAAGGACGCCGTGGTCCTGACCTGCCTCACAAATGACACGGATATCTCCATCCGTTGGCTCTTCAAGAACCAGATTCTACCTCACAAGGACAGGATGAAGCTTTCCCGGGACAACAGCACCCTCACCATTGACCCCGTCAGGAGGGAGGACGCTGGGGGTTATCAGTGTGAGGTCTTCAACCCCGTCAGTTCCAGCAAAAGTGACCCCTTCAAGCTGAATGTGTATAATGGGTAATCCTCCTCCCTTCCTCTATGCTATTAAGTTCTGAATAATTTTTTCTTTTAAAAAACTATATTTTTATTGATTTCAAAAAGGGAAGGAGAGGGAGAGAGATAGAAACTTCAAGAATGAAAGAGAATCACTAGTTGGCTGCCTCCTGCACACTCCACACTGGGGATTGAGCCCCAACTTGGGCATGTGCCCTGACTGAGAATGGAACTGTGACCTCCTGGTTCATAGGTCAACACTTAACCACTGAGCCACACCTTCCAGGCTGGATAAATTTTTTCTTATCTGAAAATGATAGCTATGATGCACTTTCTAAATAGGTTCCTTGTGATTAGTCAGTGACAAAGGTGGAAAGTCCTTAGAAGACTTGCATTGAGTCAATACATGCTCAAAAATGTGAACTGACATTGTCAGTATTGTTGACTCAAGATCACATTCCACACTAGAACACATCTCTGTTTGGTCTCAGTTGCACCATCTTCACAGTGGAGGCAATGCCGAGTTCGTGAGAGGATGAGCAGTGGTCGTGAAATGATCAGTGGGAGCACCTGATTAGCTCCCAGGAATTTGAGATCTGTGCCTCCTCAAGGGGGTTGTGTAGATGGCACCTAGACTCTGACATGGACAATGAAAATAGACAGGAGGTAAGATAGAAATAAATTGCAGTCAAACCAATTTGTCCACATCGTCCTTCTCAGAGGTGGAAGGAAAGAGATCAGAGAGCCCAGATCCCATGCTGAGACCTGGGACAAGGTGAAGCCTGCAACGAAGGAACAGTCTCCACGCAGGTCCCACCCTCGTCTACAGACCCCACCATACCTCAGCCTACCTGAGAGGTGCCTCCTAAATGGCAATGTGTCAATCAGGGACATGATTCTGCTGTAGAGACAGGGACTCCCTGTGCTGAGACTCAGTGATAGAGGAACCCATGCAGGACAAGATCTCTCTCCAAATGAGGTTTCACCATTACCACAGAAGATGCACCCTGGCACACCTGTTCATAGGGGATAGCAGCCCAGGCGGATTCATGCTAGAGGTAAACCCCAAAGTCATGGGCCATCTCACACTCTCCATGCCTATTCCAGCTCCTGCAGGCTTTGCCCTCCTGGGCAGCAACCCCCAATCCTAAGTCTCCAGGGAATGGCTTTCACTTCACTAGGCAACAGGGATCCTGGACACCCAGCCATCCCTCCAGAGTTTGGCCATGTGGGCACCTGTCCTTGTCCTTCCCCTGAACCTCTCAGGGCCCAGGAGGCGCTCCTGCTGGGATCTCCCTTTATTCAGGGGCCCAGGGAACTGCATATCTCTGAACTCCACTTGAAAGGAAGCTGCCCTTACACTCTTCCTAACTCCATGTGAGTAGCTGCACACAGGTGGGCATAAATCACACAACTTCAGGGGGCGCCCTAAGCTAGAATACAACATCCAGTGCCTATGGGACTCTCCAGTGGTACTGATCTCTCTCCTCCACAGGCTTCAGCTCCTCTCACAACTCAGTCATCCTAGTGAACTCCATTCCTTCTTTCCACACTTGTCTGCAGAGTATAACTGGCCCACCTCAGCACTGCCAGTCTGAGCACAGGATGGATCCCTGTTCACTGTGGAAAGTGGAGGGGTCTTATCCAGAAAAGGGACAGAGCTGAGGTCCCAGGAGAGGAGCACCCAATGTTCCCATCTAGGCAGGTGACTGGTGACTGAGCTCTCACTCAGTCCCTCAGGCCTCCCCAGAGAGGACCATCAATCCAGCCACATCTCTGAGCAGGGCTCTCAGGGAGGCAGCAGGAGGTTGGGAGATTCTGAGTCAGGGAGGTGTCTGTGGAAGGTGCTCAGTGGGATGGAGAGAAACCTGGGGACAGTGTAGGACTTGGTGTGAGGAATGGGGAGAAGCAAAGAGAAGGGTGAGGGAGATTGAACAAGCTGCCCATCATCTCAAAGGCTATGAGGGCAGTGAGCTCTGAGGGAAGTGGCGACATGAGGTCCATCGGGGGCTCTGCCAGTCTCCTCTCCCAGAGTATGTCTTGAGGACACTGCCCGTGGAAGGTGACTTTGCCCCAGCCTGGTCCTGCATGCTGACTGGTCCCTGCCTGACCTGCCTGACCTGTCGGGCCCCTCTATGACTTAAGTTTGGAGGAGCTGAGTCCCTGGGGCACATATCTGACATCAGAAAGTGTCCTTCACCAAAAACCCCCAAACAGCCCGATTTAAAAATGGGCAAAGGTCCTGAATAGATACTACTCCAGAGAGTACATACAGATGGCCAATCAATATATGAAAAGATGCTCAACGTTACTAATCATCAGAGGGATGCAAATTAAAACCACAGTGAGATATTTCTTCACACCTGTCCAAATGACTATCATTAAGTCAACAACCAAGTGTTGGTGGAGAAAAGGGACTCCTGTGTACTGTTGGTGGGAATAAAGATTGGCACAGCCACTGTGAAAAGCAGTATACAGGTCCCTCAAAAGTTAAAAATGGAACTGCCCTTTAGTCCACTAATTCCATTTCTGGGAATGTATTTGAAGAAACCCAAAACACCAATTCAAAAGAATTTATGGAACCCTATGCTCGTTGCAACACTATTTACAATAGCCAAGATTTGGAAGGAGTCCAATGTCCATCAATAGATGAATGGATGAAAAGCTGTGGTACAGCCCAGCTGGTGTGGCTCAGTGGTTACGTGTTGATTCCGGGTCAGAGCATATGCCCAGGTTGTGGGCTCAATCCCCAGTTGGCAGCAGAAGGCAGCAGAAGCCAATCAATGATTCTCTCTTTACAATATTTCTATTTCTCTCTTTACAATAGCAGGAATGGACCTGGAGATTATATGTTAAGTGAAATAAGCCACCAGAGAAAGACAAATACAATATGATTCCATTTATCTATGGAATCTAATGAACAAAAAGCCCTCCAAACAAAATAGATACAGGGGGGGAGGGCGCGGTTTGGGGGCTGGGTGAAAAAGGTGCAGGGATTAAGTAAAACAACAACAACAAAAAACCACCCCCAAACCGAATATTTACAGACAACAGTATGATGATTATTACCAAAGGGAAAGATGAGTAGGGGAAAGTAGAAGAGGGTAAAAGGGGAATAAATGGTGACGGAAAAAAACTTGACTTTGGCTGGTGAACGCACAATACAATCTACAGATAATATAGAAATGTTCAGTTGAAACCTTCGTAATTTTATTAACTAATGTCACCCCATAAGTTCAATTAAAAAAAAAAAAAAAGAATGTGTCCCTTGTCCTCAGGACTGGTAAAGATGGTGCAGGGGGACAGCTCCCCCATGTTTTACAGGAGATGTGGATCCTGGGTGGGATGACTGTTGTCCTCAGTCCATCTGCAGAGGGTTCGTCTCCATCCTAGTCGCCCAGTAGGCACACTTCTTGCAGCAGATTGGGAGAAAACATGGCTGGAACTGACCCAGACCTCTCCTTATGCAGCCCATCAGCCTGAGCGAGCCTACAGCTCACCTGGGGACAAATGGGGGAGAGGGAGCACACTCCTCTCCAGTGGGAGGAACAGCAAGGTCTCAAAGAAGTTGTGCTGCTGTGTGAATCTACTGTGGGGAGGGCAGGGATAGGTCAGAGGAGTGATCCAATCCTTTAGGGCCATGGACTCACTGTCATTTCGCCCAGTGCCCACTCACAGGGAGAGTGGGCACTGGGGGAAATATTCGTTTTGGGGGTGGTTTTTTGTTATTGTTGTTTTACTTAATCCCTGCACCTTTTTCACCCAGCCCCCAACCCCTCTAACGTCTCAGAGAGAGTGGGCCATGCTCCAGGGTCCTCAGTGCCCAGCTTACACTGTTCATCTTTCTGCTTAATGCTTTGGGTTCCTGGGGTTGGTTCCGTGTCACTAGTCCATGCTGACACGTCCTGTAATGTGAGGTTCTTCCCTGGAGACCCTGTTGTCTGTCCCAGGAGCATCGCTCTGAGCAAATCTAAGGAGTAATTGAGGGCTGGGTTTGTGGCTTTAAAACACTTGCATTCATTGGTCTCAGGTAATGGAAAGATCCACAGAAGCTGAAGCAGGAGCGTGAGCGCCCTCTAGTGGAGTGTCCCTGCTAGAGGAGGAGAGAAAGGGGCAGGATTGTTGAGAGATTAGGGCTGACCTTGGAAGAAAAGCACATGCAGGTTCAGAAGCTCTGGAACTGAAGATGCAAGAGGAGGAGACTGGGGGCAGACAGGGTCAGGAGAGGTGAGAACAGCAGGGAGAGGGGGCAGGATCATTGGGGGCAGGGCAGGAGCAGAGTTCTCCATCTCCTCAACAGTGGTATTTGGGGCCAGTAGTTCTTGTTGGGGCTGTCCTGGGTACTGTAGGATGATTAGCACCATTCCAGACCTCTACCCACTAGATTCCAGTAGAACTCTCCACGCCCCAGTATGAAGAGCATTTCCTCTGACATCACCCTATGTCCTGGGGAGACCGGAGAGGAGGTGGTACAGTCTTCCATGGTTGAGAACCACTGAGCTACACTGATCTCTAATATTAAGTAACCAAATGACACCCTGTACCTCTCAGAGTGTGAAGAAGAGAAGAAACAAACATCTTTACTATCTAAGAAAAGTTAACTGTAACATCAGCCAAAAGTTGATTTATCAGGTGGAGGCATATGTAGAGGTGATTACAGCTCACCAGCTGGAGGCCTGGGAGTATTCAAAGGGTGCAACCACACATTACACTGATACCACTGGGTTGTACTGCAGATTTGGGTGAGGAAAACTCTGTAGACACAGGGAAGAGGAAATACATAACAACAAATCTATATGCCATGCCATTTGATAGTCTATTCTGATGTTCTTACCATTTCAAGCATCTTAGTAATAACAGCAATTATGTCTATCATTAAGAAGAAAGATTTTAATATGAAGGAAGTTATATCATACAAGATTCTCTTTATTTTCAGAATCTCACACGGTGGCATAATTCATTACATTTGACTTTATGCCCCTGAAATGTACAGGGCCCAGTTTTATTTCCAGCATCTCTCAGCTGGCAAAGCCTTGTCTTCTGTCCCTGGGCCCTTCTCTGAACCACAGGGCCTGTGATCCTGCCTGTATAAGGGGACAGGGAGGCTTTCCAGTGTCCTCACCATTCCTCCTCCTCCTCTCAAACTCTAGGCGGAATTGGCTGTCTAATCTTGGTCGTGACACTTAAATTACCAACCTGTATTTCTGTACTTCACCTCCTACTTGTCAATGGTGTCCTGTTGATCTCTCAATTCCTAAGGTCTCAGAGAGAGTGGGCCATACTCCACGTTGGTGAGAGCACGAATAAAAGTGCACCCAGGTGTACTGACATCCTGATTGCTCCACATTGCTGCTCACAGGCCTTAACTATCTGTTTTTGAGGATAGACTTTTTTCCATGTGCTCCAGGCATGGTGCTAAGCCCTTTTCACACATTTCCTTATTCAGTTTTTGCAAACACCCTGTGCATTAGATGCTAATACTACTTCCATTTTTAAGATGAGAAGCTAATTTGGCAAGTGAGGGGGCCAGTGGAGACTAAAGCTAGCTGTGTTCTAGCCCGAGTCCATGAAACCCACAGTTCTCCAAGTTATTAACCTACAGTATGTCTGTTTTTCTTGACTAGATCCTAAGTTCCCAAAGGGCAGAGACTGAGTATTTGGATTTGAAACCTGAACATATGGTAACTGGTTATGGGACATAAGCTCCAGCCTGGTGGGCATTTAGAATTCGAGCCTCCAAGAGAAATGAGGACGTTTCTGGTTATGGGAGTAGCAGGCGTGAAGGCCTAGAGTTGGCAATGGGTGTGGTCCTTGGTATGGGAGACAAGTGGGCAGAGTAGAACCACACTGGAGTGGAGCAGTGGGTGCCAGCTGAGGCTGGTGGATGACAGGTTTGAATACCTGGGGGAATCCCGGGCAGTGCTGTATACACCCAGGGCAGGACATGGGAGTTCTATGTGGTAGCCACTGGGGACAGGGACATTGGTGGCAGTCGAGGTGAGACATTAAGAAGAGAAACTAGTGGACAACAAAATCATCACAGGGATGTGAAGTACAGCATAGGGGAGAGAGTCAATAACATCGTGATAACTATGTATCGTGAAGGTGGGTCCTAGACTTATTGGGATCACTTTGTAAGTAATATCAATGTCTAACCACAGTGCTGTACACCTGAAACTAGTATAACACTGAATGTCCAATGCATTTGAAAATAATTTTTTTAAAAGCTCAGTTAGTGAATAAAAGGGAAACCTATCTTAGCTTGGCACCTGCTTGCTTCCAAGTGTCACACTGGGTCCTCTTTGCACAGGTCTCCTCTCAGTTAGAGACCGGAGGGACATGCTAGTTTAAAAGGACCAGGAAGATTTTGTCTGATGTCACAGAGGCTGAAGCATTGGTGACAGAATCTGGGTACATCTTTTTGACCACTAAGTATATGTTCTCAGAACTACAACGCATTGCCTTTTCTTGGTGAAGTTAGAGGCCATGGAGATGGTGATGTGGTAAAAAAAGAAAATGGCTTCCTTCCCTCCCTCCCTCCCTCTCTTCCTTCCTTCCTTCCTTCCTTCCTTCCTTCCTTCCTTCCTTCCTTCCTTCCTTCCCTCCCTCCCTCCCTCCCTCCCTCCCTCCCTCCCTCCCTCCCACCCTCCCTCCCTCCCTTCCTCCCTTCCTTCCTTCCTTCCTTCCTTCCTTCCTTCCTTCCTTCCTTCCTTTCTATCTTTCTTTCTTAATTTTTCTTTCTTTTTTTCTTTCTTTTAAAAAACCCATTACAAAAAAAAACACTGCATTACTCATATGCCAAGTGCTCAACTGGCAGTGACATGTTGAGACAGCCCTAGTTTGGGCTCATCATTGAATGTAATAAAAGCACTGCACCCAGGTCGACAAAGAAAACAAGCTCAAGGGTAAGCAGTCCTTCCTCTATGTAAGGGGGGTAGGATGATGCACTACTCATTCCTGTGGCTATAAATGCAGGACCGCTAGGCCTGCAGTCATTACCCTGAGAGGACCCCAGCCTGGCACTATCTCTATGTTCCCCCAGGATGAATCACTTTTCTTATAAAAGACAATGTCATGGAGTTGGTGGTGGAGGGCATGACTGGGAAAGATAAGCATGAATCTCCCTGAACAGATCATGAAATCTCTGGAGAACCACTGGCTGTCCGTGTGGTGTTTCAAAAGATGTGCAAGTTTCTGTTAAGGACGACCCTTAATTTCATCCTGAGTGGTCCTGCTCCAGTAGTACACAGTCTGATTGTGGAGAAATCTTTCATAAATGTCCTGGATGGCTTCCAAAAGAAGAAGTTTCCTAAACTGGCCGTTGTGGTTGTGTTTTAATTAACCTCATAGTATAGGCACTCTGACACCAAAGGAAAGGTAACAAAAGTAAAAATAAACAAGTGAAGCTACAGCAAACTAAAAGGCTCTTGCACAGCAAAGGAAACCATAAAATATATAGACATATGGAGCCATTTTTAATTGGGCCAGAACTGCCATCCCAGATAAACTGCATTGCACATTGTATGCCTCAAACATTTTGGGGGATGCTAAAACTGGGTAAAGTAACCTTTGAACTGTGCCAAAAATGAAATTGTGACCACAAAACCCTGTTCATGAAGATGGCAAGAAAGCAGATATTATGGCTCCTAGACAGGTGACTGACTGACTGATAATTAAAAACATTCTTTGCAAAAAAATATATTTTATTGATTTTTTTACAGAGAGGAAGGAAGAGAGAGGGAGAGTTAGAAACATTGATGAGAGAGAGACATCGATCAGCTGCCTCCTGCACACCCCCTACTGGGGATGTGCCTGCAACCAAGGTACATGCCCTTGACCAGAATCGAACCTGAGACCCTTGAGTTGGCAGGCTGATGCTCTATCCACTGAGCCAAACCAGTTAGGGATAAAAAAATTCTTAGAATGAGCATCACTGTGTTTGCTTATCCACACCAATGAAATGTGGAACCAAACTGAAAAGTGTGGTTTCTTCTGAACAGGATGCAAAGGTGATTTCTTTCCCAGGTTCTTATCCAGGTGGATTTGAAGAATGAAGCCTTGGACAAAAGATGGTGTATGGAAAGGTGGAAATTTATTGGAAACAACTACAGACTCCCACATGGGGAGGGGGTCCCAAAGGGAGTAGGTAGCCCACTAAGCTCCTTTTCCCTAAGGTTTATAAAGGCTGCAGTTCTTTGTATCCTGATATTCCCTTCTGATTGGTCACTATAGCAGCCTCAGAGCTCCCCATGTGGGGACCCTCCCTTGTTTTCTCCCCTATCAGTGGTAGAATTCTTTACCCCCTGGGAAAATCGGTTTCCCTTTCTCTCCCTTTTGTTTCTCTACCTCCTGAGGCTTTCCCCTTATTTTCTGTGAATGGGTGTCTTCCTCTCCCCTTAGTGTGTGGAGCCTTTTGTTCTTTGTGAATGTATGCCTTTTGCCAGCTCCAAGTCGCCAACCAACCATACTATACTTCCCTTTCCCAAGGACCCCCTAATTCTTAAAACTCCCTACACCTGTCTCTTTTACCCCTAAAAACTACTTTCACCAATAGAAATGTTTTCCCTCTGTTGGTATTAGTGTTCCCCTTCCCTTTATAAATAAACACTAGTTGAACTCTCCCTGAATCAGTGCTTTTTGAACAGCAATTCTTGTGCTTGATTTCAAATAAATGTTTGTTGCCTTTCACTTTGGCCTTTTATTTTAGCTTAACACCAGAGGCCCAGGGCACAAAATTTGTGCACTCTGGAGGGGTCCCTCAGCTCAACCTGTGCCCCCTCGCTGTCTGGGAGCCTCGGGAGATGTCTGACTGGCAGACGGACATCCTTAGCGCTGCTGTGGAGGCGGGAGAGGTTCCTGCCACCACCACTGTGCTCCTAAGCTGTGAGCCAGCTCAAGGCTTCTGGCTGAGTGGCACTCCCCTGTGGGAGTGCACTGACTACCTGGGCAGCTCCTGTGTTGAGCATCTACCCCCTAGTGAGCATCATAGCGACCAATCATTCCGCTGTTTTGTTGATTTGCATATTAGTCTTATTATACAAGATAGCTGGTTTAAGAATCGGGATCTAAAGTGGTCTCACTGTCATGGCCCAGCATGTCCTGGAATGGTGTATGCTACCTGGAGCCTCTTCTGTACGTACCACTTGCATGGGCTGCTGTCTCCCTGACTGTGCATCCCTCTAGGGTAAGGTCTCCCTGCTTTCCTGGTTGAGGTCAAATGTCTTTATTTGAGGCTGGGAGGGTTTCCCTCAGGGGATGATGGTCCAGGTGGTGGCATGGGGTGGGATCCGCAGGAGCTTGTACCACAGGGAAAAGAATATTTCTATCTCAGGAGATTGGTCACAGCTCTTGCACTTTTACCAAGTGCCCTGTAGCAGCTCTCAGGGGTTTTCCTGATGGGTGAGCATTTATTTGGTTGTGTGCTCTTTTGTTTCCATTTCTTGTCTGTGTCTGTTACGTTGTTTGTGTAAGGTTTGAGGCACAGAAAACTGACCACCAAGACATTTTAAAGTACATGGTAAAGTTTATTTCCCAGTAATGATAGGGACTTATGACAGAGATAGAGAAATCAGAATTGAAGGAGTGGGGAGGGGAGAGAGGACCCAGCTGGGATGCCTCCAGATGGACATGGAGGGAAGGCAACACGTGGCTCTTCTGGGGGTCTTTTTAAGGGGAGGAACAGGAGAGGGTTGGACCCAGGGTGGAACAGGAAGGGGTGGGCTCCAGGGCACTTTGGCACACACTGATTGGTGGTTCAATGTCTTGGGGATGTCTCTGTGACAGATGCCAGTAATGTCATAACTCCGCCCACCAGTTGGGGGGAGGGAGAATCTCACAGTTTGTCCTAAGAGATTTCATAAGAAGAGGAATCCAAACCTCTCCTGACGATGGAATACATTTGTTAGTTGATAAGCAGAAGCTTTTAGAAATCAAAGTATTTTATCTAAAAGAATCTTTAGCCATCTGAGCAGGTGTTTAAAAAATGTTTGTCCTGCCTAAAAGCTGACAAGATATTTCAAAGAATTTAATAAGTTTAGGATCAGAAGTTTGGCAGAAGTAAAAGTCTAATAAGATTTTTAATAGCCTTCTCAGCAATTTGTAAGCTCTTCCTCCAGATAACAGGGAAGTAAACACAACCCATATTTCCCTAGGCTAAGCAACCAAAGGGAAAATGGGGGGAAGGGCTTTTTTTTTAAATTTTTTTTTAAAGATTGACTAAAAGCTTCTCTTACCTAAGGAGCACACCTCCTCCATCTCCTTAAAAAGTGTTTACCAAGAGCAAATACAAATCTTGAAAATCTTCTCTAAAAATTAATAAAAAGCTTAGCCATCTGAATGAAATAGTTCAACTTTTCCCAACTCTTATAAATGAGTGTTTCTGCCTTGTTGTACCTGTCTTATGGGTAAAACATTTATTTATTTATTTATTTATTTATTTATTTATGTTTTAAAATAAACTAGAGGCCAAGTGCATGAAATTCGTGCACAGTTGTGGTCCCTGGGTCTGGCCAGTGATCAGGGCCAATCAGGTTTTCTGCCTTGCTGCACCATGGCTGTGCAGTTCCTGATTCCATGCCTCCTCCACCTCCTCCTTCCCTCACCACCAATCAGGGCCTGCTGGCCAGGGGGAAGGGGCAAGGGAGGTTTCAGTCCCCAGTGTGGAATATATAGGAGGCAGCTGATCAATGATTCTCTATCATCAATGATGTTTCTCTATGTATTGTATTTCCCTCTCCGAAATCAATCACATATATGTTTTTAAAATGCAAGGTTTTTAGAGGAAGAAAGGTAGGGCAGGGGAGCTATTAAAAAACAAAACAAACAGGATGGGGGCATTTGAGATCTTGCTCACATTTCAAATAGGATAATGTAAGTTGGTCCTCAGGGGGTGACAGGTGAGAAGTGGCAGTGAGTGGAGCTGGGCACTGTGGAACGGGCTGTAATGACTGGGAAAGTCTGTGACAGTGACACTGAGAGTGTGTTGGGGCCATTGCTGGGATCATTCATCCCCTAGAGGTTTTGATTCCAGGTGGGGGGAGAAACATGGAGATCTTAGCCTCCGGGGGCCAGAGCAGGCTGCCCTGCTTCCCTACAAATGTAACACTCAGTGTAACATGGATGTCAGTCACATGGCCAAATCAATGCCCAGCCGGTCCTGGTGGCTGTGTCCTGCCACTCTCTGGCTGTGCTATGGTGCTATTGCCCTGGGAGGCCACTGCATACCCAATTTGGAGTCCTCAGTCTCCAGAACACTTGCTCCACTCCCTGGGACTCCCAATACTCTGCAGGACCAACATCTTAGCCTTTGTCTCAGGGAAGTTAGCCAGCAAAGATTTTACATGTAGAACCTATGTGTTTGGTGGCTGTGGAAAGAGTAGGGGTTTGCTAAAGACTGCTGGGGAGAGCTAGGGAAGCTGCTCTATTAGCTCTCCTGGTTCTGGGCCCAGCAGCTCGACGGGGAGGAATTACTGCTGTTCTTTAGCATCAGAACTTACTCTGATGGCTCTGACCTAAAATCTTCAGAAGGCCAGGTGGTCATGGCCCAAAGGACTCTGGAAAAAGAGGGTTGTATAGCCCACCACAATGGTGGTGCCTCCCTTGGGACTTTAGGCCCCTCTGTGGATCCTGAAATACTTTCATTCTCAGTACTCAGGGACTTAGTGAGGCCTGCTCCTAATGGTATCCACTGCCTCACAAAGCACTTTAGTCCTAAGTCTACATAGTCCACAAATTCAGCCCACTGGTTAGATCCAAGCCATGCCCCCACAAGGGGTCCAGGACACCCTAGAAATGGAGAGGACCCTGATCATAGTGAGGTATCTTCAGAAAGAGTCAGGAGTGGACCAGGAACTCTCAAAAGAGAATGAGGCTGGGCACCAGAAAGATGAAAACCCTTCTTTTCTTTCCATTCCATCTGCTTGCAATTGCCAGGGAATCCTTGGAGTCCTGGAAGAGCTTTACTCTGGGGGAGGGGATAACTATTTTAACAATTTCTGTCACTTTTGTACCTCTCCAGCTTTAGGGTAACGTGAAGAGTTGGAAGAGGAATATGATGATGAAGAGCCCAAGTT